TAAATAAGTCTAACATCAATAACACCTAACCACTTCAGAGTATTTCCTGAGACACCAGTTGTAGCAAAATGAAGTCATGTAACAGACCTGGGCTAATTAATACAAGGACTTAACATATATTCAGGTGAGTCACTGATCAAAACCTAGAATGATGGAATCTGATCCTAACATAAAGTCCAATTCGGGATGATGTACAAACAGTATTTATACACATTATGTTCAAGTATTATAGAGAATAAATGTTACCCAGAAATAAGAGATTCTCTTTATAATGCAGTTGGGGAACAAGGATAACATTCTTCTTATCACAGTGAACAATGTGTCTCCAAACAGGATTTAAAAGCAGGAACAGACAAATGGCAAGATGTGATAAACTAAAGTAAAATGTTAATTGTAGAATCTAGGTGGTGAGTAAGAGTGTTCACTGTAAAATTTCTATCAATGTTTTTGTATGTTTGAAAATTTTCATAATATAACAATTTAGCAATGTAACAGGTCTGTGTAGTTAAGGGGTGCTTTAAAATTCAGGTAAATTGCCGTACTGTCCCTCCCAAAGATCATTACGTTTTCAAAGAAAACAAATTAAGGAAAAAAAAGATTCAGTCACTGGAGAATAACCTGTCCGTTCTTTATTTCTAAGAACCTTTCCATTCTTTACTTGTTTCTAAGAACATGTATGCACTGATGAATACTAAGAGAAGATACTACAATGAAGAGACATTTTAACATTTACTCATATCCCAAAACACTCAAAACTTATTGAGAGCATAAAAATCAGAGATATATTAGGTACAGACAGACTAATGAGTTATCCCATATTCAAAATGACGGGGTCAAAGGCCATACTATAAATCCTTGTGCTAAGAAGTTTCTAAAGGTACCAAGGTTGTCTTTATGCAAACTACTCACGGCAGTAAGGGGCCCTAAGACCTACCCAAGTTAGCATTCAAGATATGAATACTCCAAAGGGAAAGAAAAAGTTCCAAGGTTTTGATGACAGATCCTAACTACTCCAGGGCCTAGTATATGCCTCATGAAGCCAGTGGTTACTACCTATAGGAGTCACCACAGTTAACCAAAATGGCAGCAGGTCCAATCCAACAGCTCAAGGTACTTCCTGCACCTCGCACCTATGGTGTAGTTGTAATTTATAATGATCTCAGAGCTCAAGGCTAGAAAGATTTTAAATTACAATGAAATCAGTGACAGTGAACCTGGTTCTGAAGTACAGCTGGACAGCTGTTGCTAATGATTCCAAAGTGACTTTTTAAGACTGGGGAATGTATTCTAAAACTGGTTTTGTTACCCATTTTGTCTTCTTCAAGTACTGAGGGCAACGGCCTCTTTTTGTCATTTGTAAAGTGAAGAAAAACATGGAGACCGCGAAGAACAGAAAGTAGTCCCCAACTTACAAATAACTTGTGATCCAAAGAAACATAAATAACCTATCAATACCGTAGTTTCTATGGAAAAATTACATTCTAAGTGTCAACTCTGAACTGCAGCTTTCTACTCTGCAAAAAGGTTATCTGCTGCCGTTTTACAGCTAGCTACAGCCAAAACCCAAGGCTCAGAGAATTTCTCTCTCTGGCTCTAGGGAGAACCCACCACGACCTGTGAAGGCAAGGAAAATGGCAGCTCTCCTTATACAGGGGGCTTTTACAATGCCTCCATGGGAAAAACTACCATAATTTAACAAGTTCATGGTTACAGAAAAGTAACTGACTAATACAATGTAAAAGACTTAAGAGTTATAACAAAAACAACTAGAAACTACAATGTGCGTCAGATAAAAGGAAGATAAAATTAGGTACTGTTAAACTAGTCTGGTCAACTAAACCAAATGTTCGGCAAGTGCAGACAACACATTCTCAAACTGCTTCCTCATGTCTGATCAACTCAACTGATAAGGATGGAAATTACTGAAGTGGATTGATGAGAAGATCACTACCAAAAATGCTGCTAAATTCTAAGTAAGTGCAGGGTGGTTTTAAATTCAATAAATAGCTAACATTCACCATCACAGACCACCCTTTATAACAGTTGGTAAGGTTTATAAAATAACTTGGGTGACACATTTGAAAAACCAACATAACTTTGTAAAAATTAGTCATTTTTGGCAGCTAACTTAAATCTTACACAATTTAAGAACTACTGTAAAATTTATAGAAATAACACAATCAAACAGAGAAAGTAAACCCTTCACTAAAAAGACTCTGGAAATGAAGATGGTGACAGACACGGAAAAAACGGTAGGGGAAGGTGTGGGCAGGCCAGAATAGATCCGTTTGTGGATACAGAGCCGGAGAGAAACACTTAAATATTATTAAAGGTTCATGTCATCGCTACATGATAAAATAGTAATCTGGGAGACTCCCATACTAAAGTTAGATAGTAGACCAGTTAAAGTATTGGCACTATTATTAGTAGCTTTGCAGGAAAACTGCTTTAAAAATTCAAAGTAATGAAGACAAGCAATTCACCCTCCACCCCTCCTCACCTCTGATTTTTTTTAAAATTTTCAACAAGAATGTAAGGATGAGATGCCTACGTACTTGAGACCTTCAAAGGATATCAAAAGAAAAACAAAAGTGGCCAAAAAGGGGATTTTTTCCGGGGGGGGGGTAGTTTGCAACCTGATTCTCTCATTAAGTCACCTGAAGAATTATACTTAGATACTGGCTTTATATTGGCAAATCTCCATTCACAGTAAGAAAGACGATTCCTTTACTATGTAAGGCTGTTTCCTACTAATCAGAGTTGTCTAATATTATGAGCATAAACATTTAACCAGGAATAAAATAAACTGTAAATATTAAAACTTCATCAGTAAGCAGAATACTTAAATTAAGTAGGTTTTTAAAGACTGAAGAGGTGTGTACACTTTTAGATTAGTACGTAAGAATTAAAATACAAATGTTATGGATTTAGCTAAAAGATAATGTATCAGAAATGTGTTTTTATACTTATAGAAAAATAAAAGCATAACATTTTCCTATGAATGAAAAAAGGGTTATTCCCACCAAGCATATTCTTGAAAATGGAGAGAGAAGTCAACTTTTAATTATTCATCATATTTTTTAAAAAGAAATACTTAGCTACTTTATCTGTGAAGCAGCCTGATAAGCCTTTTCATGATTACGTTATTCAATTTTACTAGTAATCTTTGGCTGACTTCATGCAGATTTCTAACCTTCTTTCGAAATAAAAAATGACAAGATAGTTTCACCCTTCAGCTGTGAATTTCTCTACAATCCTTACTTTCAGCCTCACAGTGACTATTAAACGTACTCAGGCTTCTTCTATTTTAAAGAATAATACTCTCCGGAAATACTGTTCACAATTTCTGCTGTTTCAATCTGAAAGGAAAGAACTTTCTCTTTTCATATTGCTCAGTAAAATACTAGCAGTTTGCAGTTTCTGGTTCCAATTTCATTTTATTCTAATTTGCTTAAACGTTCCCCCCAAAAGCTAAGACTACCTAGGAATACTATATCTAGTTAATAAGCCTTCAAAAATATTCTTAGGATCATAAATAATCCACACTCATTTATTTTCTTCTATGATTTCAAGTAACAAATTAAAAAAAAAAAAAAAAAAAAACCAATGCTAGGAAAAAAAAATAATCAAAACCCCTAAAATTGGATTAAAACGTTTCACAGGAGAATGTAACCGTAATTAACTGTTTAGCTAAACTGAATTCTCCCTGAGTGGGCCCCTCTGGTGTTCAATAGATGATATACTACCCATTTTTCTCTCCGTATCAGAACTTCAATCCGGCATTTTAATATATGGGTAAAGAAATATTTCACATCCAAAGAAATATTTATCATCTGTATATTTAGTGACGCTCAAGATTCTCTCTCTGTACTTCAAATGATAAAATATCCTAAAATCTAATTAGTTCTAATTATAAAGACTAACTCGAAGCTGATACGTCAACAAGATGAATTAAGTCAGTTTAAGACATATACTCTCACATGAAAAGGACTTCTCAATTCAGGTTGGGCAAGTTGGAAACAAAACCATCTTCCTCATCTGATAAGTCACAGACCAGCAGAATTAGTACTCTTAAAAATGGGGCAGTTTCCTAATACAGTCAGGTCAGTCCCTGATCGCACGTCCAGCTTCGACGTTATAGTGTGGGGCTCCCCACCACTGTTGCACTTCGCTCATCCACAAACCCCCCTGCAGACACCAAAGAAGGAACTAATGCAACGCTTTCGGGGATCGTGCACAGCACACTGAGGTTGGCAGTTTGGCTCACGGAGTAACGCTCTTGCTCTAAAAAGCACTCCAAGACGATTGCGGAAAAAAAGCCGCTCCTACAAATACCTAATGCTAAATAAATAAGAGTCCCCAGCTTTCAGATCACTTTCGGGGATACCATTTCCTTTCCTACACCGGCCCGCTCTCCTTCCCCCTCTGGTACAGTGAGAGCGAAAGGGGACACGGTGAGAGCGGAAAATCGCGAGGCTGAGCTGACGAGGCTCCAGCACAGCAGGGCACCCCCGGCCGAGCCCATCGGAAGCAGCACCCAGCGCCCGCAAAAATTAAAGAACGCGACAGCCGCGGGCGGAGGAGCGACCTGCCGGCTCCCGGCGTGGCCGCTCCGGATTCTGCCCGCGGCAAGAGGCTGCAGCCACCCTCCCTCCAGGGAGTCGTCGGACTGGCCCTGGCCGGGGTCCCCGACCGCCCCGCCTCGAGCTGCTCGGGGCAAACTTCGCTGGCGGGTAGGGGGCGCGCCCGCTGCTCCAGGACCGGGGCGAGCGCGGCGGGCAGGGGGCGCGCCCAGGGCC